TGTCCCCACTGCCATCCTCCCTGAGGCTCCTTCTGGTTGGCTGGTTGGTTCCCCTGGACCCCCTGTCCTCACTGCTGTCCCACAGCAGAGCAGACTCCAGCCTGTGCCCTTATTTTTAATGTTCGTTTATTTTATCTATTTATTTTAAAGATTTATTTATTTTTTGGAAAGTCAGATATACAGAGAGGAGGAGAGAGAGAGAGGAAGATCTTCCATCCAATGATTCACTCCCCAAGTGAGCACAACGGCCAGTGCTGCGCCGATCTGAAGCTAGGAGCCAGGAACTTCTTCCAGGTCTTCCACACGGGTGCAGGGTCCCAAAGCTTTGGGCCGTCCTCAACTACTTTCCCAGGCCAAAAGCAGGGAGCTGGATGGGAAGTGGAGCTGCCGGGATTAGAACCGGTGCCCATATGGGATCCAGGCACATTCAAGGCAAGGACTTTAGCCGCTAGGCCACACCGCCAGGCCCAATGTTCATTCATTTTAAATATTCCTTTATTCTAAAGGAAAAGAGAGATCTATCTGCTCGTTCACTTCCCCAGTGGCTGCAACAGCTAGGAGCTGGAAGTTCCAATCAGGTCTACCACATGGGTGGTGGCCCCCAAGCATATGAGCCTAACTCATCTTCTGCCTCCCAGGTTAGCAGGTCTGGATCAGAAGCAGGGAAGCCAGAATGGGAAGAAGCACCTGCCTCAGCATGGAGTGAGGGCATCCCCAGCAGTGGCTTAACTTGATGCAACACAGGGCTCACCTAGTGTCACAATCCCTAGATGCCCTTTGCTGCCTAGAGCACACAATCCCTGCTCAGGGGACTCCCCTGAGGATCCGGTCCACAGGTACAGAGGCTGTGGCTTGCTTGCTTTCTAAGCTTCATTTGAAAAGGAGAGGGTGAGGAGAGAGCTTACATCCATTGGTTCACTCCCTAAATGGTCCAGGCTGAAGCCAGGACCAAGGAACTCCATCTGGGTCTCCCACGTGGGGCAGGAGCCCAAGCACTTGTGGTGTCCTCACTGATATTCCAGGCTGTTAGCAGGGAACTGGATGGGAAGTAGAGCTGCCAGGGCTGGAGCCAGCCTTCCAGTGTGGCAGTCGACAGTAAGCGCAGGTAGCTTCTCTCAAAGCCTTGAAGAGGTGTGCACTGGTGACTGTTCCTCCTGCGCTGCAGGTGTTGGCTGTGTCCCTGCCTCAGGCAGGGCCTGCCAGGTTTCCCTGTGGCTTCTCAGTGTTTTGGGGGCCTGAATGCACCGCCTGTGCTGTCTAGGCCCCTGCTCTTGCACCTGCTCTTGTCTTGTGGCCTCACACACTGGGAGTTCTGGCCTGGGGGTCTGGGCTTATTTGTGGGCACTTTCGGCCTACATCTTCCTGAAAGCCAACTTCCTTAGCTGTCCCTGACTGACTCCAGACTGCCAAGACTTGATCTGTAAGGACCGAGTTTCTAAAAAGAGGAAGCTGAGTTCTGTGGGAGAGGGTCATCAGGCAAAATGGAGCTGCCGCTCCAAGTTGAAGCCTGAGCCACACCCACAAGCCTGCCCCTTGAAGAAACCGGGCTTGGGTTGGGCCTTCCTAGCGATAACCAGAGACCACCATACTCTTGTCTAGAATGGGCAGGACAGGGGCAAGGTCTGGCATGTCTGGACTCCAGATTGGCCCTTCTCCCAGAAGCCAGGAAAGGGCAGTGTGAGGGGTGTTGGTCAGGAGCAGCTGCCTGGGTGAGTGGGATGGCCCACTCCAGGGAAAAGGGATGGGGGAAGGAAGACGGACTTTGTACAAGGGCCAGACCTTCCAGGCTGTCTGGAGAAGGGAGGAGAAGACTGGCTGTCCAGAGGCCAGCCCCTAACCCAGGATCTGAGCCCAGCTGAGGGGAGATGAGGGCAAGGGCTGTGTTGAACTGAGGGCCAGGAGCCAGCAGGGGCTATGTAGCCTACACTGGTGCTGGGGTAGTCAGATCTCTGAGGCCCGACAGGACACTGCAGTCCTGCTTGTCTCCTGAGCAGTGTTAGGAGATTAGGGTGAGGTGGGGGGAGCCATTGTCTGCCAGGGGCTCTGCTGAGTCCACCCAAGCAAAGAGTAGAGAAGGCCTGGGGAAGGGGTCTCTGTGGGGCCCACCCAGGCACACAGGGGAGCAGACCTAGAGGGGGGTCTCTGCTGGGCTCATCCAGGCACACAGTGGGGCAGGCTTGGGCCCTGGAGAGGCAGGGCGCCTGCCCTTTGCTGCGACCCCCTGAGTGTCTAGGGTCGATCTTGATGCTCCTGGTTGGAAGCAAAAGGCAAGAAGACAGCCCCTGCACCAGGAAGCTTTGGGGAGGAGATGCAGAGGCAGGTAGAGTAGAAGGAAGGGGAAGCCCATAACTGCTGGGGTTCAGACTAGTACCTGGGCCAGTCTGCTACCAGCTGATGTGGCCTCATGTCTTCCAGGGGTCCAGGTAGGAGCTGGACTCTGAGAGAAGCCCTGGGGTCCAGGTAGGAGCTGGACTCTGAGAGAAGCCCTGGAGGCCCAGAGCCCAGAGTCAGGTAAGGATGGTTTCTGACCAGGATGGTGATAATTGACACAGAAGAAAAGGAGCTTTCTAGCTGAAGAACGGGGACAAGTGGGTATCCAGACTTTGGGCAAAGGGCCAACCACAGCTGTGGGAAACCTGCAAACAGGTTGTCAAAGTGGACCTTGGTGCATCCTGCTGTATGCCTCCCTTGGCAGGGCCTAAGATGATCAGGGGCAGCAGTGGGCTGTGTTGGCCTGGCCCCTGGAGGATGAAAGCTTGCTAGGTGTTCTCTTTTGCAACTTGCTGTCACCTGAGGGTTCCCTAAGAGTACCTGCCAGCAGGAGTTGGGGCACCTGGAGCATGTCCCACAGGAGACCCCCAGCTAGGGCCTCCCATGTAGAGGCAGTCAGAGCCCACAAAGGGCCTTAGGACCTTGCCTGACAGCAGCAGACAGCCCACAGGCCTGGAGCAGGGGCAGCTGGGCCCATCAGCAGATGAGACTCCAGTCCTGGCTCCAAGTGCAATGCTTGGGGGACAGAGAGGGCATGAAGAGGGGATGGTAGAGTCTGCCTGCGAGCCCTTCGTTGCCCTCCATGGCAGAAGCACAGTGTGCACTATGCTGGTAGTAGACCTGGGCTTCCCACTGCCTGTGTTTGCTGTAGGGTCCTGTGGAAGGAGGAGGCAGCCCTTGGGGTCCATTGATGCTAGGGGGGCACCAGGAACAGACTGAGCACATGTGGCTGCCATTGGGCAGGGACATAGCAGAAATCATGCATCTTGGAAAGGTTCTGGAGTCAATGCTGCAGCTCAGCCATGCTGGGATGCCCAAGAGAGGGGCTTCTGTCGGCATATTTGCTCTGCATCTGGGTAGGCCTTCAGTGCAATTAGGGGCTACATTTCAGAACCCCACTGGACACCTGAAGCTCAGAATAGTGTGAACCATGGGTAGGCTGCTTTCCCTGTCCTAGGTGCCCACCAGGCAACTCTGTGCAGCTGGGCAGTGGGGAGGAGTGGGAACTGGTAGCACAGCACTTACAGGATATGACCAGCCTCCTTCTGGAGCCTCTTTGGGCTGTGAGTACCAACAGCCTCAGGCAGCTTTTCCCTGAGTAGTCCTTTCCCTGCTTGGTTCCCTCCTGCGTTTTCTCTCTCTCTCTCTCTGGAGGGAAACACACCAAGCCTCATTCTGCTCCACCGTGACCTACATGGCTGCTCGGCCATCTGGAGCTGATATTCACCAGTGCTATGCTGCAGTGACCAAGGGATTGGTGAGCAGGCAACAAGTGCGATGGACACTGCATTAGAGGAATGGTCACACCCTAGTGACTGGACTGGCGACACAGAACAGTGTCCTCTGAACTTTATGAATTATCTGTTTCTGGAGTTAATGTCATCAGAACACAGTGGGGCATGGGTAACTTCTCCCTCAGAAAGTGGTAAGGTGGCAGTGGTGTGGGAAACTGAATCCCCTGTGATGGACACAATCGTAGTCCACCTGCCCACCTGGGACAGGTGTGGGGGCACAGCCTGGGATTCTAGAAGCAGTGGTATCACTTGGGTTTGTCTCCAGGCCTGCACTTGATGTGAGCTGCTTCTGACCACGCTGACTTCACAAAGCAGAGCGTTTCTTGGTGGCTGCACCAGTTCCTGCTGCATGTGAGGCTCTGGTTGCTCCATGCCCTCACCAGTACTGGTTCCTCTCTGTTACTGTCTTTGAAAAGCAGAGAGACGCAAGCAAATCTCCTATCTCCTGGCTCTCTTCCCAGACACCCAACCAGCTGGGGCCGGGCCATGGCCAGAAGCCAGCATCTCAATCCTAGTGTCCCATGTGAGTGGGAGGAACCCAAATACTGGAGCCACCACTTTCCACATCCTAAGGTGTATATTAGCAGCAAGAACTCCAGTAGTCCAGGCTGTATGAGTTTGTGAACAACCAAGGGGATTCTCAACTGCTGTACCAAATGGCATGCTATTCTGACTTTGATCCAGTTTGCAAGTACAACACAGAGCTCCAGAAACTATCTTTCATCACACACCTCACATGCCACACACCTGCAGGGACCAGTCTCTCACCACACACCTGCAGGGACCGGTCTCTCACCATGCACCTGTTTTATCACACAGTGTTTTCTGTTGTATGGGTGGATACATAGAAGTGAATCTGGAATCATGTGTACATTCTTGCCACTGAAAGTTGGCCTATATGTCTGCAGTACACCATGGTGGGATGGTCTCCCACTGGCTCGGGGACAGCTCTGTGTTCCTGAGGAGTACATGTGGCCCCTTGGTCCCTGTCTGCACAGTTGTAGTTGAAGCTAACTGGAGAGCAATTGCTTTGCTGAACTGGGCCGAAGCGAGCTGACTTGGTGAGCTCTTATAGACCTGGCTGCAGACACAGGGGCTGAGCCCTGTGGACCTTCTCTACACAGCCGCCCCTCCCTGAGTTCCTGCTTCCCCTCCTCCTCTCACCCTCGGCATATCTGTGCAGCCCCACCCACACCCTCTCTGCTCTCTCCACAGCCACCCGAGAGTCAGCCTTCGTGCATGCCATCGCCTCGGCTGGCGTGGCCTTTGCTGTGACGCGTTCCTGTGCTGAGGGCTCTGCCACCATTTGCGGCTGCAGCCGCCGCCACCAGGGTTCCCCAGGCGAGGGCTGGAAGTGGGGTGGCTGCAGTGAGGACGTTGAATTTGGTGGAATGGTGTCTCGTGAGTTTGCAGATGCCCGGGAGAACCGACCGGATGCCCGCTCAGCCATGAACCGCCACAACAACGAGGCTGGGCGCCAGGTACGTGTGTGGCCGCAGCCTCCTCAGTGGTATGTGCCCTGTCCCTGGAAGCAGGGTCAAGGGCTCACTTCCTTCCCAGCACTCTTCTGCTGCATCTGAAGCACCCAGCACAAGCCCTCCTGTGGCTCCAGGGTCCCTAGGAGGGAGGCATGGGCTCAAGGCCTAGCTGACAGCAGCCCCTACACAGTCCAGAGAAAGAGGTGGATAGGTAGCCTGGGTATGTTGTGGAGACGTGCACACAGGACAGGGGGCAGGAATGGGGGAGTACTGCAAAGACTTGGACATGGACAGCCCAGATGAGAAAGGGACAAAGCTCAGAGTGACCACACTGAATCTCTGCCCACACAGGCTGCAGAAGCAGCATACCTTGGCCTAGTCACTCCCAGTCACAGTGCATGCCCCTCTGGAACCCAAGACCAAACTGTGGACTGCAAATCTGCTTACACAGGTCCTTGTTGGGACAGTCTACAGGCATACCAGCCCTCTCCGGGGTCTTACAGTGACGGGAGCACAGGAACCCCGAAGCCTTGCATCCAATTTGTGACATGGCCACAGCCAACAACTCACTCACTGGCCCTGCCTTCAGGGCAGTGTCTCAGCCTGTATGCGCTGGGTCCAGCAAGGAGCTGCCGGGTCCCAGGTGGGCATTGTGAGGTTCTCGCATGTTTGTAGCACAAGATGGTCAGGCATTACAGTGTGGCAAGAATAGTTTTCCTTGTCAACCGTGAGGAACCTAGTACCTGCAACAGCATCCCCTGAAGGAAGTTTCCAGCACAGATGAAATATGTAGGCAGCTGGCAAGGTGCAGCATTCCCACTGCACACATGGCCTCTCCATCCTTAACAGAGGAGCCAGCACACCTGCTACCCTGCCATAATAGGGGAGCCAGCACCATGGCCACTCTGTCCATGGCAGGGAAGTGGGCACTGGCAGGAGCACATGGAGTCTTCTCAATTGGCAGGGAGTACGCAGGCTCCAGGTTGTGCCATATCCTCCTGGGCTCGCATACCCAGCACCCACCCTGTGCCCCTGAGGCAGCTAGGCCCTGACAGCTTCATCCCGGCAGAGGGGGGGTCAGTGCCCATGGGATGTCCTCCTCTCCCCACCCCCTTGTGTGAGGAGAAGGCTGCCCCTTTCGTCTGGAAGATGTCATCTCAGTGTGGCATCTCAGGACAGCAGAACCAGACTCAAGCTGGCAAGCTAGACTTGAGGAGAAAGAGGTCCCCCTCCACCCATCACATGGCCTCCTATACCTGCTGAAAAACTGACACTGCCACTGCCTCTGGCTGCAGGTAAGCATCAGGCCCAGGTGGCAAAGCAGAGGCAGCAACGACCTCACAGCACACAGACAGTCTCTGGACCTCAGGGGAGGCGGAAGCTACTTCACACATTGAGAGGGGGAAGTGGGAAGACCACAGCTGATGTCAAAGTAGGGAAATTTCAGGGAGACACCTCTGCCAGATACAATCCACACCTCTACCACACAGAGCCCAAAGGACAAGCGGCTCAGAGTGCAAAAGCCCTACACAGAGACACAGTGAGCAAACACACAGAGGCCTTCACATGGAGACTTGGTGGACAGGCATGCCAAACCCTGCACAGAGACATATGGGATCCTAGTATGTACAAGGCAAGGATTTAGCCACTAGGCTATCATGCTGGGCCCAATGATGTACTTCTATAACGTGATCTTTTCATTTGATGGCAGCAAAACAGAGAGAGGGAGAGGGGAAGGAGAAAATGGGAGAGGAAGAGAGATCTGATAACCACTGGCTCACTTCCCAAATGGCCACAATACTCAGGTTTAAGCCAGGCCAGACCCTGGTGGTAAGCACTTCCTCCTGTCTCCCACAGGGGTGCAGGTGCCTAGCCATGTCACTGCTGCTGCCTGACCAGGGCACCTTAGCAGGGAGCTGGATGGGAAGTGGAGCAGCAAGGATTGGACTGGACACTCAGCATCACCATGGTAATGCAACCTGCTGCGTCCCAACACCAGCTCTAAGATGCTCTCCCATCCTCAAAAAAACTAAGCATGAGTGGCTCCAGACCCAGAAGACACTGGTGGCAGACTGAGCAGCCAGAGCCTCCCAGCCCCTGCCCGGGGGCAGACTCCTTCAACCCTGCTCTGTGCAGGTCTGTGCCCTGATGCCTAAGTCAGTACAGAATTAGGTGGCTTCTGTGTCCAGGAAGTCTGGGGGCTGACCCTGTGTACTTGGGGAGGCAAAACCAGCTTTTCAGAATGAGGGTCACTCCAGTGTGGGTCTAGGGGCCCTTCTATAGATAACCTCAAAGACAGCATCCAGCACATGACAGAAAAAATAGCCTCTCACATGCACTGCTGTGCATAAGAGCCCCAGGAGCACAGGCCCAGGCACCCAGGCTGTGCAGTTCAGATATGCTGTGAGGGAAGGTGCCCATTTCTCACCCAGACCCAAATGCACACTTAGGCATCTCCGAGGGAGGTGGAGGTTATGTTTTTGGAAAGAATCACTCAGGGCTCACAGTGCACATGAGGCCTTGTAGTCATCCCCTCTGCAGCTTCCCAGAATCCACCAACGTGACCCTCAACGTGTGTTGAGTACCTCTGAACGGCACTCAGCTGGACACACAGTACAGATGGGCATAAACAGAGATGGAAACATGTGGAGCTGATAGGCACACACAGACTTGGGAGACTGGAGCAGCACAACTTTGAAAACTAGAAGGCAGGTAAATGAGTGCTTGGTGTCTTAGCAGGAACCACAGACACGAAGTCTGAGGACCAGTTTGAGCTGCTGGCTCCTGTTCCTGCAAGACAAGTAGGAATGTCGGCCGGTAGTCTGGTTCTAAAGTACCTTACAGCCTTAGGTTCTGATCAGCTCCCGGTGTCCAAATCATACTGCAGACTGGGGTCTGCTCCCTTGGCACTGCCTTCTATCACCACAGCCAGGTGGCATCTCCTTTAGGCAGCACAGCCTGTGTCTTCTTGGGACTCCCACAGACCAAGACATAGGGCACTGGCTTAGCACCACATAGCAGCCACACACAGAAGTTTCCAGCAAGGCTGTTGCTGTCCTACTTTGAAACAGAGCGTAGTCCCTGAGGAGGGTTCCAGTGGCAGCACTGAAGCCCAGGGCGGCTGGTGTCATGCATAGGAGGCTGCGGTTCCCTCTTGTAATGCCGGCATCGCATGTGGGTGCTACTTCATGTCCCATCTGCTTCATTTCTGAACCAGCTCCCTGCTGTGACCTGGGAAAGAATGGAGGATGGCCCAAACCCTTGGGACCCTGTACCCATGTGGGAGATCTGGAAGAGGCCTCTTGGCTCCTGGCTTTGGATCAGCTCAGCTCTGACTGTTGTGGCCATTTGGGGAGTGAACCAGAAGATGGAAGATCTCTGTCTCTTTTTCTCTAATTCTGCCTTTCAAATCAAATAATAATAATAAATTTTTAAAAGTGCCAAGAGAGACAGGAAGAGAGAGGGAGGGAGACAGAAGGAAAGAGGGGGAAGAGGGAGAGAGGGGGAAAAAGGGAAAGGGGAAGAGGGAGTAAGACAAAGAGGCAAATGGAGGGAGAAGGAAGGAGGGGAGAGAGAGAAGGGACACAGTTTCAGTCTGCTCCTAGGGTGATGTTGCGACTGCACAAGGTGCCTGCTGCCTGCAGGTGAGGGACAAGTGGCTGTAGGTTCCTTCGACCTGGTTCCAGGCTTTAGGCTTGCCTAGCACTTGTGGAGTGAAACAGCAGGTAGGATATTAGCTCTTTTTCCCTCTCCCTGGTTGTCTTTCAGATAGGTAGGTAGATAGATAGATAGATAGATAGATAGATAGATAGATAGATAGATAGATAAGAAGATAGATAGATGAGAAGATAGATAGATAGGTCGAAGAGAAAATGCTGCAACCCCACTTGGACAGATTACTGTCTTTTCCAAAGGGAATACTCGCTCCTCAGCCAAGTATTGGCTACCTCCTGGAGCCTGCTCATCAGTCCTGCCTCCCGGCCAGACCCCAAACCTCTTCCCCACTCCGTGCTCTGTCCTGGCACCAAGCAGACATGCAGCATTGCCCCCTCCTTCCCCCTCCAAGGTTAGGGAAGCTGATGTGGTATGGGCTTCAGTTTGGCAGGTGCAGGCTGCGGTTGGCCACAGGGTAGGGGACCCTGTCCAGCCCAGGCCCCAGGTGCCCTGACGCATGTGTGTCCCACAGGCCATTGCTAACCATGTACACCTCAAGTGCAAGTGTCATGGGCTGTCTGGCAGCTGCGAGGTGAAGACCTGCTGGCGTGCACAGCCTGACTTTCGCGCTGTGGGTGACCTCCTCAAGGACAAGTATGACAGCGCCTCAGAGATGGTGGCCGAGAAGCACCGGGAGGCACGCGGCTGGGTAGAGACACTGAGGCCACGCTATGCCCACTTCAAGGTGCCCACTGAGCGTGACCTGGTCTACTATGAGGCCTCACCCAACTTCTGTGAGCCCAACCCCGACACCGGCTCTTTTGGCACACGCGGTCGTGCCTGCAATGTGAGCTCCCCTGGCATCGACGGCTGTGACCTGTTGTGCTGTGGCCGTGGCCACGATGCACGCTCTGAGCGGCGCCGTGAGAAGTGTGGCTGCGTCTTCCACTGGTGCTGCTACGTGAGCTGCCAAGAGTGTGCACGTGTGCTTGATGTGCACACCTGCAAGTAGTGCATCAAGGGTGGGGGCACAGGAGGGTACTCCAAGAGCTGACAGGATGTATCTGCACTCCACCCGCACACCTGTGAGTACCCACTCCAGATGCCCACACAAGCCTTGGATACCATGCGGGCTGGGTCATGGCTGGTCCAGGGAGTGTCCCTTGGCCGATGCTCCAGCCCTGGCCACTGTGAAGGACCCCACTCCAGCAGGGGAGGGGACCACCATGTGCTGGGAATTTTGCATTCTTGATTTTAATTCTAATTCTAATTCTGATGCTGCTGCACCCAACATCCACTGGATTTGGACACACATGTGTGGTTATGTTTTTTTTTTTTTCTTTCTGTGAAAGAAATTATTCTAGCAATAGGTTGTGAGTTCTAAACACTGGAGAAAGTAAAGAGATTTCAAAGGAAAATGTAGTTTCTTTTGTGTGTTCAGTGAGAGGGAAACCCCCTGTTCTCAGGACAAGGAACCAAGGCCAAGACCCCCACCACAGCTTCAGCATCAACACCTGTCCACTGCACTCACTGCACTCCCCCAAAGGTCTCCAGCTCCAGAGTGCAGACAGCTCTGACTAGGGTACCAGGGCATCCAAGAACCCCATGCCAAGCACACACAGATTCCATGTAGGCAGGGAGAGCCACAGGGGAGGAAGAATAACAGGGACAGGGTGAGGAGGATGGACAGGGTGAGGAGAACGGACAGGGTGAGAAGGGTGGACAGGGTGAGGAGGAAGGACAGGGTGGGGAGGGAAGGGATAACATGAGACAGGGTGAAGAGGAGGGTCAGGTTGAGGAGGGACATGGTGAAGACGAACAGTATGAGGAGGAGAGACAGAGTGATGTTGAGGAACAAGATTAGGAGGAGGGACAATGTGAGGAAAGATCGGATGATGAGGAAGGACAGGGTGAGGAGCAGGGAGAAGTTGAGGAGGAATTGGGTAAGGGGTAGGCACAGTGTGAGTAGGAGGAACAGGATGAGGATGAACAGGGTCAGGAGGAGGGACAAGGTGAGGAAGAGGGTGGGGAGGGACAGACTGAGGAGGAGGGCCAGGGTGAGGAGAAGGAAGGACAGGGTGAGGAGGAGGGACAGGACAAGGCTAAGGAACAGGCTGAGGAGGGACAGCTTGAAGAGGAACGACAGGGTGAGGAGAAGGGTTACTGTAAAGAGGGACAGGGTGAGGACAAGGGGTGATGAACAATGTGAGGAAGGACAGGGTGAAGAGGAGGGTCAGAGTGAGGAGTGACGGTGAGGAGGAGGAGCAGGGTTAGGAGGGACAGGGTGATGAGGGGCAGGATGAATATGAAGGACAAGGTGAAGAGGGACAGTGTGAGGAGGAGGGGCTCATTGAGGATTGATAGACAGGGTGAGGAGGTACCAAGTGAGGAGGAAGGACAGGATGAGGAGGATGAACAGGGTGAGCAAGGACAGGGTGAAGTTGATGGGCAGGGTGAGGAGGGACAAGGTGAGGAGTGACAGGATGATGAGAAAGGACAGGGTGAGGAGGAGGGAAAATTTGAGGTGAAGGCACAGAGGAGGGGCAGGCTGAGACAGGGTGGGAATGAGATGGAGGGCCAGGAAGAGGGCCAGGTGGAGGAGGCACAGGGTTAGGCGTGGGACAGTATGAGGAGGGACAGGGTGAGAAGGGGGGGGAGGGAGGAAGAGGGGACGGGGGAGGGACAAAGGGAAGGGGAGGGAAGTGGGCGGGACAGGGGAAGGGGAGCGACAGGGTGAGGACAGACAGGGTAAAGATGGTGGTGAGGGACAGGGTGAGGAGGAAAAGGGACATGATGAGCTGGCATCAGGACATTTTGAGGTTTTTCAGAGACAAGGTGAGGACCTCATTCAGGGCTTACCTTGGGCCTACACTTGGTCAACTGTGGCCTTCCAGGGCTGTTGGGATGTTGTTGTCCAGGGCAACTGATGCTATAGCCTCTCGGCTTGCCAAGTCTTAACTCTGCACCCACTGTGTGGCCCCTTGCCTGCCTCCTGGTGCACCCCTGCCCTGGTCTTGGCCACTCCCTTTTCTGTGGGTGTTCATATGTAGCTTACCCTGCCTAGCATGGCTGAGGCAGGACCAGCTTTGGGAAGTCTGTGGGGAAGGACCCAGCACTTGGCCTGTATGGGACAGGCATCCATTCTTCCTCCTGGGAATGAAGTAGGCAGCAGTGGTCAAGGGGTCAGTCCTGCCTGACTGCTGCATCTACTCTGAGTCAGGGCCTTGGCTGGAGCCACCCTAATTGGCAGCTGTGGGAGCATGTCAGGGATGCTATAGATGAAAGGGTAGCCATGGGGCCTGAGAGGTCAGAGTATCTAGCAGCAGCAGAACCCATAAGCCACACACAGCCAAGGCCACCTCCTGTGAGAGACAGCAAAAGAGAGCTCCAGCATCCATACTGTTTCCAATAGTCTAGGCCCAGGGAGGGTGCCAGTCTGAGCATGTCTGGGTGCATAGGGGATGCTGGTCTGAGCAGGGCTGGATACACAGAGTTGCCAGTGTGAGTGGGACTGGGTACATTGAGGTTGCCAGTCTCAACAGGGCTTGGTGCATGGGGTGTTGGTCTTAGGACCCAGGTCAACTCTGAGGTCTTGATACAGCACCTGAACTCGCCCAATCCAGCATAGGCCCAGTGTGAGCGACCATTGTGGAAATGGCCCAGCTGTCCCCACCTCACACAACACCCTGAGAGTGGACAGAGGGCAGATCTTGGCTTGGGAAAAATGGGGGTGTCTAAAATTCCTGACTCCCAGTGTGAGCTTAGCCCTGCCTCCTCCACCTGATCTCAGTTTCCCTTCTGTGGGAGAGGAAGTGGGGTGGGGTCCTTCCCTCCCCCTCCCCAGGGAGGCCCAGGAGGAAATGGGCTGTGGGCCTGTTCACAGGTAGTTGAGACAGGACAGGAATAACCATATAAAAGGTCCCAGAGCCACCCACCCCCAGGGCCCCTGTGACCAGCTCCTACCACCTCACACTCCTGACTTTGAAGTCCTGGAGGGGTGTGGCCACCCCCATCCTGGGCCCCCACCACCTCCCTCTCCCCGTCCCCCTTCTGACTCCCACGTTCTGGGCCTTGGAGCCTGTTTCCAAGTCCTTGCTCAGGGTTAGCCAGCTGCTCCCATACTCAGTGCTCGTGATGGTGTGGTCAGCGCAAAACGAGGACCAGACTAAGGAATCCTGGCAACTTCTGGAGCCCAGCACACAGGCAGCAGCACCAGCTCCAGTCCCTGGGCCTTCTGGGACAGAACCTTCTAGAAGCTCCCATGGTGGGGATAGGAGAGGCCACGGGAGGGGGCAGCAGCACCCTGGGTGTCTTCTGAGGATAGCACTAGGCTATTTGTGGGCTTTATTTTCCACCATAGGCATAGCTTAGCTCAGAGTTGTCCACCTCAGGACTCCTCCAATAAGGTCAGGCATGGACTGACCAGCCACAGAGTCCACTGAGAAGTTGGCCTCACAACTCCACTATCTGAGCCTTTGCCAGCCCCCATGCAGCTCTGGTCATTGTGGCTAGCTTCTCCCTAGAAAGCCTTGAGTTGGGGGGAGCAGCCATAGCTGTGCTTCTACCCACTTGCAAGTGGCTACCATCAGAAGGGGCATTGCCAGCCCCATGGACAATCCACTCTGAGCCCCAGCCTGGGACTAAAAAGCCAAAAGAGGAAACTACTCAGAGAGGCTTCATGGGCCCTCAGGTCCATGCCTGACCTCTGCCCCAAGCCCTCCTTTGAGAAGGGGACACTGGTCGCACCCTGCCATCTGAGGGGGACTCACCCATACCTGGACCTGGCTGGAAACCTTGGCTGGAAAGCCCTCCTGCTTTCTGCTTCCCCTGTAGCTGCCCTGAGCCTTCTCTGACCTGCTGAGCTTCTTGCCTGCCCAGCTCCCATTGATTGCCCCTCCTGGTCCTGGAAGGTGCAGGAGACTTGGGCCTCGGGGGCAGCTGCTTCCTCTCCCATAGCCCTTGGCTTCCCAAAGCAGGGCAGGAGTGGGGCGTTTGCCTTGCACACACTGCCCCTCACTGCCCGACCAATGGGCAGGGAGAGAGGCTTGGGGATCAGATAGGCCTGTCTCTCCACAGAGCTAGGCCACCTGGGAGGGCCTCCAGGAAGAGGCAGCCAAGGCTGTGTCTGTGCCCCCCAGTTGGGGAGCTGTCAGAGGTGCTAATTGCTGTTTAGCTCCAAGCTGCCTCCTTGCTTGGCCCTTTCTCCTCTTCCCTTTTTTATGTGGCACATGGTAAACAGTCATTTGGCTCACAGGGCCCTGCAAATTGGTGTTTATGGTGGAGGGTGAGGAGGACTGGTCCACCCAAACACAAGCAGGGTGGAGGGAGGGAGCAGGGGCCAGGCAGGCCGGGACTGGAGCTCCTCCTGCTGTGTCCAGGTCCCAACCTGGAGGGGGACAGCCCAGCCCAGGCAAGTGCCCTGGCCAGTCCTGATTGACTCCCTGGGGTCTAAGCACTAGGACAGGTGTCAGGACCTGGTGCACTAACGGCTCGACTTGAGGCTAGCTGGGAATAAAAGACCAGAATTCAAGAGAGGAGGCCCAGGGCTCACACAGATGTTCAGCACAGGTCCAGGCATGGAGTGGACAGCCAGGAGTGGTGAGGCCTTGCAGGAAAGGGACCCAGCTCTCCACTCTTAACTGCGTGTTTGCTGAAGGAGTTGCCCTTCCCGCCTTCCTCAGCCACCAGGAGACATGGTGCAGCCCACAGCCCTTGGAGAGACCTCCAAGCTTCCCTCTTGGGGACCACATCCAGTTGCCACCCCCACCCATGGGGCAAGAGATGAGGCTTAGCAGGGCACTGCCTGACCTCAGTATGGGACCCCAGGAGGAGCCCCAGATCTGAGGGCAACCTTGCAAATCCCCCTCTTTGCCCCAGCTGCATCGTCCAGCAGTGGCTCTGCAGCCTTGCCTGTGTCAGCTAAATCAGCACACCCCACTCACAGTGGATGACCATGCTGGGCTGGACTTAAAGAGGCTCCATGGGCCCTGCATGGTAACCTAGTGCCCTAGT